TAAAATTTATTTACCAAACAAAAGCCCCACTTAACTGCTTTGGAGTTGAATGGTTCTAAACTTGTTTAATAAGCATTTTTTTAAAGTAGACAAAGTAAAGTAGGTTTTTATAAGTATCTTGACAAGAAAGTGGGAGTTTGTATAATTAATATCAACGACTAGACTTTAATTAACAATAAGCCAAAGTAAAGGGCTGTATTACGTATGTATTGCAGAAACTTGCACTGTCTCATTAAACATTTCTTTGAAAAGCTCTCAGGAAAAGTTTATGAACCTTCCTCATCCCGTTTCTATCGCATTACGGAAAGTTTGTGTGTAAATTGGATGGTTGCAATAAACATATTTAACGCAAGTATGATGTTGAGTCAACTTGACAAAATTAATTATTATCTATTCACATTTCACCTTGCAAGAGATCTATAGATGTGCCATAAGCTCTAAACATTTTATGCGTAGGGAAATTCTTGAATAGATCTATTAATTTTGACTGTTGAAGGAAACTGTAAGTGCGTTTTGATAAATGTTTTGACACAGAAAAAATGAGGCAGCGTAACTCAGTCCCACGGAAGAGTTCCTTTACAGCGGCAGGCATTTTCAATTTGTTGTGGTTGGAATAAAGCCTAAACAACTCTCTCCATCCTGTAGATAATTATCCTCATTCCTATTCATGGCTGCTCAGCCTCATCCTGTTTTGCTGTCTTGTTTCACCAAGGCCAAGCAGAAGTTGCATACTTTATTCGAGACGCAACCTTTGTCCCTAATATTTTTAAAACTAAGTTTATTGGGGGCGTTCTACCTTTTGTCTTTGTTTGGGTTAACCGGGCATTATTTTTGTTTTGTACCCTTATAAACATTATCAAATAGATTTATACTTATATATTAGCAAACCTATTATACAGATTAAGTTTTTTTTAAATGAATATTAATATTTCCAGTTACTTTTCTTTCTTTTCTTCCATTATTAAGTATTAAACTTCCCGAACCGCGGGTTTTTGTCATCACAAATCTCCATAAACGAAAATGATAAGGTATTCTTTGCACAAAGGGGTGCGTTGAAGCAATCTGACGCTGTTAATTAATAATTTAGGTTTTCGTGATAGAAAATCAACCGTCTAATAAAACTTTAGAGGACCATAAAACACCTAACAGTATTAATCCGCAACATTTAACGATCGTCACGTAGCGCAACCCTTCTCGAGATCGTGGCTTTTGTTCAGGCGCTGAGACGCAAGCCGGCGGTCTCGCGTACGATAAAAAATAGAGCGGTTTCAAAATATAATGCCACATACAAACAATGTATTTTCATGTTTCTTAAGTGGAATAAGTAGAAGTAGCTATTTGGGTTTGGTTAAGTGAATGGTTTTGAATGGAACAACAATGGTTTTAAAAAACAATCAAGAATTACTATTTGTTTAATAATTTCAAACTAGAGACATTTCACTGATGGTGAAAACGAAAAGAGATAGTGTTTATGGCTTCTGCTTTTTGCGTTACTTTTAATTAACAAATCTTTTAGGTAGGTACATACTTACAGCGATGTATCCAATGAAGAACAATTTCATTTAAATTCGTAAACACACGTCAGGCTGAAATACTAAAAATCCGCAGAGGTATTAAGAGATTTGCAGATGGAAACAGAATTCTGCTAATGTTGTTCATAAGGATGCCACAATAAGAGACGCACGAACATCAGCCTTTATTAAAAATAGTCAAGATAGAGATACCTTTGTATTTTACAATTAGAATAAGTTCAATTTACAGTAGAATAAGAATTTTCATTCAAATGTATGAATAATAATGTTGTTTTTTTTATAATTTATTGCAAACCTGAAGTCTCAAATCACTAGGCGTAAGCTTCGATTGTGGACTAACCTACACAATAGAGTTCCCTCAATCCATCATGCTCTACATGATACTATTGGACGTAGATACCGAGCACCCTGCTCATAAGAAAGGCATCCTGTCTCCTAATGATGGCTGGGAAGCTGTCTATGTGCACTTCAACAGAATATTCTATATTCTATGGAATAAGAAACCTCTTGATGTAAAGGGCGCTCTATAATATACTGTGACTTAACAGCCTCCTGTAGATATTATTGTATTGCACAATATCGTTGAAAGCCCGACTTGTCGTCGACTGTCTATTAATAATATACAGTATGTGACAAATTAACAAATGTTGAATGGAGATCAAAACATTTTATAATTTAAAGATTTCAGACTTCAATGACTTACCAAATTACATCTTCTTGTTACATCATGAAATTTTACAATTTTTAAATCTCCCCTTTCTCCTTGACAGACAGTGGCAGACAGTGGTGACTGAGTTTGTTGCGGCGCTTCTTCTCAGCACTTGCCAAATGTTGGTCTCGAAGCGCTGGTAGGGTAAAAAGATTATGAGACATGTAGAGGCTCCTTAAGAGCAAAATGACGATTTGTAAGAACTATTTATTAGTCTAAACAAATAAATAAATTTTGACTTTTTTTTACTTTTGACTCCTCAAGTAAATTGACTTCTGAAAAGAGTAGACATGATATCGCTTAACAAGTTGTTATATAATTAAAACCATCTTGCTAATATTAATATCCATGTATTTAGATCACAAAGTTTTTCTGCACTTTGAGCTACATACATACACAACGTACCCATTATTTACATATTCATACTTATTTACTCTAAACTTTGTAACAATACAAGCAACAATTCAACTGCGATATTAAATAACTGATTTCATATACACGTAATTACTTTTAAACTTTCGCATTTTTATTGTAAGTAAAAAAGGGAATTTAATACGGGCACATGCTTTGTTCTTGGGTGACGTCATTATGAATTAAAGGACCCAGGGGTGATGTTGGTGATACGGACATACGTCATCGTCTGTACGCTCGTACAAGCGACCGCAATACAACCGGTCAAGTTAATTACTTTGGAATCTTTTTAAGTAATAATAGGGGCAATTATGCAACAAATGTCAATTTGTACTATTAGTCGGTTGTGCTGTAACTGTCGTCTCTACATAATAGATGTCGTTGACTATGTGGTGTACGACTGAAACTATGTTATTAACGCAAAAATAAATATGAAGATTTTTTAAATCTACCTCTTATATTGATCACTCAGTATACTTACTCCATCCAATCGTTCCAGGCGCAAATAAAGTGTAAAATACCTGAACCTACAAAAGCATTAAATTCCCGTTTTTACTTACAATCGGTATTCATATACACTTTTTCTGTCATGACCAAAATTTTACACTTGCAAATATCTCTTTTAACTCAATGTGTCTTTCTTGATATTTATATTTGCAAGAAAGGAGAATGACAAATTAAACTGTCCCTTGTGCATTTTAATTCAATATTCAATATAGGCAACTTGAAATTAGGTTTAAAAATTATACTCTAATGTAATAAAAACGTTAACTGGTAAACACGGTTCATTTTACGAGACCAAAGTTGACCAAAGCTTTGTTCTCTTTGTTTTGGAAAACAAAATAAAAATAAGTTCAACGCAATATGTTTCACATACTTGCCCAAAGCTCTTGATGGAGCCCATAAAAAGCGATCTGACATTCTCCTTTTGCGCCTTTTTTTACACAGCTTGTACCTACCACACACAATAGCACATCAGTCGCAAGCTCGCAACGTAATATTGACCTTGGGAACATCTTTTCACTTGCGGAAAAGAACGACTTTTGATTGCAATGCAACTGTCACACTTGATGTAGTTATTGTGGTATATAATGAAGTATATTTTTTTTAACCCACTAATAAAAAAGACACAGAGTTATCTAAACATTCGTCAGGCATTCGAGTATCTACTCAGTGGGTGTAATAAGAACACACTTTTCCATTATAATTTTACATTTTGTTCTCACTCTTCATTAATTACAGTTTTTATTTATATTATTTTTACATTTAGAAGATGTACCTATGTTAACAAAGGTTTTTGTGGTTAACCACTAGCACTAGAAAAGGGTAAGTAGGTAAAAAGCACAAACTTATTTTTTCACTTGGAACCATTCATCCATCCAGTTCTTTACTGGATGTGTTTATATTAGGATACATAAGATAAATTATACATACAGGGTGACTTTGTTATCAGGATCCAAATTTTTTTAATAAGCTCGTTAGAACAATTAATTAATTATTTTTAATTGTGGTATTTTTCGCAAAAAATAATATTGAAAGTCTAATCCGCGGGTGCCCATATCTTAAGTTTTAAAGGTTATTGCTTATTTTCGCTCACCATTATGTCTATTAAGCTTTGCAGTTAACCGTGTGTACGTATTTTTCCATGAACGAAGCAAATTTTCCACGTGAGTCAATTTGGAAACCACGCGCAGCGGATGAAAATAATTAAATATGGAGAAAAAAGTTTTGTTTTCTTTACGTAAATCAATTAAGTTAGGTACTGATTCTGAGTCGATCCTGAAAATTTGGATACTGATACAAAAATCACCCTGTATAATGATACTTACTAAAATAGGATCAAATACATATTTTCCAGCAGAATTGTTTTTGACACATGTCTTCAATTCATGGAAAACTAATTATCATGTAGGTTATTAAACATGCTATTTTGATCAAAACGAACGAATGATTTGTAAATAATAACTTTGCATTTCCTCTTTTCAACTTTTCCTATAATTTATGATTATGTACAATGTTTACTTTTAACGATTATACACTGTAGGTATTTATTTTGAAAACTTTGTCAAGTAACATTTTCGTTCAGTGTTAAACCAGTTTTTATTCAATGACTAGCATGCAACACATATAATTGTATTTATTTTATATACATATACAAAATGTAAATTTCAATAAGTATACATATAAATATATTTCCATAAAATTTTATGATATCTACTTACATTCGCGTACAGATACAGTAAATACATACCTACGCGTACCTATTCCACACAAAATTTTATTTCATTAAAGTGCCTCGTTAGCGTTTAAAATATTTTGGAATATCATTTTTGTTTATTTAATACATTTTGTTGTGATTTTACAGTAAACGTGTTGTGTGTTAGTAGGGCAGAGAATAACATCATAATCAGTTTGGCCACGAATAAAATACAAAATGAAAGTCAGTTAAGTAAGGAGTAAAAAATAAAATAAATAATTATAATGAAGAGACTTTCTACAAATGTTACACTATTTTAGTATAGGACTGAGAGTATAGGTAATAAATAGACTGGTCTTAGTAGTATGTACTTACTAGTTAGGTTTTCATTGAACCAGAACATTCAATCAACACAAATAAGAAAAACAGTAGGTACGTATTCAGATTACTTGGCAACCAAATGGTTCCTATAATTGGAATCGATCTCGTTGTGCTATATAACTAAGCGCTTAAACAGTATCTAGCGTAAAAGTTAGTAAGGTTTAAATTGTACTGACACCTAAAACCTCCGCTTAACAAGGTAAAGTTTATGTTTGATGAACACGGATTGAGTCAACGAAACGAAAACGAAACACGGAGTTGTCAACGCGCATTCGAGAACTATAAAAATGGTAGGTATATCTATTGAAACGCCCGCATCCAATCTTCATTAAGTCGTCCCGAACTCTAATCGAAATTATTTAATTTAGGAGGGTACAAATACTTTGGCTCGTCGGCAATTCGTAATGACAAATTAATTCTAGCAGAATTTGTGTGTCAATAAAATTAGAGACGGTAATGGTAACCGATATTGGTAAATTAGCGGCTTTGGTAAGCATATTTATAGTATCTTTGGACTGTCTGTATGGTAATTATTAATATAATTATCATATATCAAGCATTTATACAAATGAAAAAAATAGAAACAATATTTATTTACTTTTAACAATGGCACAACAATCTATTGGTGAAATGACTTTATCTCTTAAAATTAAATGTCGAAATAACTCGCAAATAACATTACACATTGACAAAAGTGGAATTTATTAATTTTCATATACAGAATGTAAGCGGCGGGTCTCCAAGAATATATTCTCAGAATCTTGCAAGTATAATCTCAGTAATTCATTCCGAATGAGATTCTTAGCAAACTTAAATGTCATTTTACATAATGTACAAAATGTGGGAAAATCGAGAATTTCCGCGAAGAAAATCCATATGATTTCCACTCACAAGCATGTTCTGAAAGCGCTTCTGCCCACTACTTAGTTACTTACACCCTGTATTCAATTAATAACTCAAATTCACAGAAATAACCGTCGACTGAGCTCTGAAACAATACAATAATTATTTTTATTTAATTAATTACTAGTTCCTACAGTTTTAAACACCGGAATGACGTAAGAAAATGTATTCGGCTAAAAATACTTACAGTTAAATTAAGATTTTATGCATGCTTGCACCATAACATTCATTTTATAAACTAGAATTAACCAGATATTATTTACTGCTTATTTCCGATTGAATATTTTTCTGTTACAACGATAGAGAATTTAATACATTGAGTGAAAGCTGATAAAATACATGATATGTCTATCTAGCAACTTAAAATAATGATTAGTGCTTTTATAAGTAGTAAATAGGTATAGTCTAAGATCCCACATGTCATTGACCATAATGAATAATGATATCTGTTTACCGAATAAGTTTTTAATACATTAAAAGTTAGTAACCTAATACGTGACACGAATGTTTAGTATAGAATGAAAACTCAATTAAAATGCAATTTCTAATTCAATCCTTTTCTAAAATTGTCCTAAAGTATCTTACCCGGAATATGGAACATAAGTAGGTAAAGCTTATGTTTCATATTCCGGTATATATGTATATAATATTTTTTTTAACTCTAGCATGAACTCGTTGCCACGATAGAATTTCCATGTATTTAAAATAAACGACGCGATGTATGAAGGGATCTTGCAGTACTTAATATTAATTATATACAAAACGGCTTTGATCATCACAATAATATACATTATCTTAAACCTTTATATTTGACGAACAATAAATAAATGTGAATAAGGTAACAAAATAAACAAAAACCAAACCTGCCTTCTAAAGTAAGTTCAACTTAATTATAGCAAGCGGCAGCGCCCAACCACTGGAAATAATGAGGAAGCGAATGCGCCTTTACTTTATAAATTCAGCTTCGAAAACAATCACTTTAACGTTAAGTCAATTTGTTAATGTCCGTGTTCAAATGTACAGTAGTGTGTGGATTATCGATATGACTAAGCACAGCACAAGTGGGGAAGAGGCCAGTTTGACCGGGGCAGAGAGGGATTTTCCCGCGGCTTGGACCCGGTCGGCCCGGGAGGTGCCCTCGCTGAGCTCGCGGGAGCGCGCGTAGCCCTTCAGTCTTTCACCCTGGACGCTCTCCTCGTTACTACGCCAGTACACTGTCGCTATTGTGGCTAAACACTGCAAGGAAACATATTTGGTGGTTACTACTCGTATTTACTCACAATTCGCTATAGCGCCTTCGTGGTCTCCGATTTTAGATGGGACATATAAATTGAACAATCATTTTATGTTTTATTTGTCTATAGTTTTATCTATGAACATTGCTGTCTTGAGTCAGACTCTTTACCCAATAACTAAAATGATTCCACCCTTTACGGCGTACAACTAACCCTGGTGTGTGTTGTGAACTCAATTGTCACAAATCAAACGATTGGTGGAAGAATGACCATTAATGTATAATAAGATACTGAATAAACAAAATGTTGTTCTTATCATGACGCTTATAAGACAATAACCTTAAATCAATATATTACGAACTAACTACACTAAGTTGAAGCTATTAATATTAAGCACAATATCGACCAAGAGCTTAGCTAACTAGTTGCGTAGCTAAGCGAATTAGTCAGTTCATAAATTACTGAAATATTCCGTTGTGAGTTTTGCTATAGGCTAATAGGTAATCTATTGAGTATTGAATGAGAGTTGTATTAATACTAGGCTCAGTAAAGTAATTTTTTAAAGTTCTGAATTTCACTGAATGGTAGAGTACTCAAACTATGCTCAAAGTTAGGGTTTATATTGTCTTAGATAGATTTCTCAACAAACTTTGATAAGCCAACCATAATGTTCCTTGTCTCTGTCCACAAATCACAATATCAAATTCAAATCATATCACAACATCTATTTGAAATTAGGTCATAATTTATGCTATAATAACAGACCTAACTTTGGGTATCATTAGTTTTCTGACTTAATTGAGTTTTGGGTACTTACTTTAAGCTTAAGGTCGCCTTTCCTAAAGTGTTTTGGCTTGACTTTGAAGTCGAGTGCTAAGCTGGTGACCTCAAGTCCGTCTTCGAACACCTGATGGGAGGGCGTGAGCTGCGCAGTAGCAGGCGCCGGTTCCCCGTTGACGTACCACGCTAACCGGGTAGCCGGCCGCGACCGCCCGGATGTGCAGTTCACTTGCACCCGGTCGCCGATCTGGTAACGGAGCCGGGACCCGGTTATTGAGGGCCCTTGGTCCGGTAGAGCTGAGGAGTGATGGTCGGTTAGACAACGTCGGCAACAGCATAAAACACTGAAGAACGAGACGATGTTTCAATTTTTGTTGTAAAAACAGGGTCGATACCGATACATATAAGTTTCTTGTAATTTCATGGCTTCCACGTGGTTGGATACTATTAGAATAGCTACTCTTGATAACTCTACAATCATCGCGGCCTCCAGCACCGAGTATAACGTCACGTTTGCCCTGTTGTGACTCGAGTCCTGGCTTATACTCGTACAATCCATTACTACATTGTATTAAAAACACTTACCGACTATGACCATGTCCGCGTGGTCGGACACCGTGGGGAAGAGCGGCCGCTCGCCTGACACCTCGCAGCGGTACCGACCGCCTGTTTCCAGCACCGCCGGGTACAACGTCACGTTTGCCCCGTTGTGACTCGAGTCCTGGTGTAAAATAAATCATTAAATACGACGTCAACATTTTATAAAAAATCTTTAAAAATAATATTGAAATGTACTCCTATGCTAAGTAGGTAACAGCGAAGTTTGTTTAAAATTAAGCATGTTAACCGTGGTGCTCGGATTCCGTGAAATTCTGAAACTTTTTATATCATGTTATTTATAATTTTGTAATTATGTAAGACCTACCTGTTGATCCGCCCACCTAGGCATGAATACTCGCACAGTGTTATTTTTGTCTATTTTCGATTAATTTGATTTGCGAATTCGTAATAGCACAGAATAATAATAAGTAATTGTAATACTCGTAGTTCCAGTATTATTACTCGTAGAGCCCCTTAATACTAAAAGTTCAACTCGCGTTGATCATTAGTTCCTCGCGCATTTAACTTTTTTGTAATTAATAAGCCACTTGAAGTAGGTTACCTATATTTTTATAAACATTATAGCAAAACTGACCAATTGAATAAAAAATAAAAATTAAAGAACGTATTTTATTTATGAATAAGATTCATAAATAAAATACGTTCTTTAATTTTTCTTTCCACAGATAATATAATACTAATCTTACTTAATATAGTACCTAAGTTAGTCTGCCATAAAGCAGCTTTTGAATATAGAAATCACAAAATAGTTTTCCGACCCGCTTTTGGCATAAATGCTTTGATTCCATTGAAGTAATATTACTAGCGTATTTGATTCATCCTTCATAAGTGCACAGTCAATGAGTGGAATGCGTCGATTCTCCAAAATTTGCACAACTCAAAGGCTGTGTTCATGCAACCAGTCTTCTGGGAAACCCGATTTATCACAGATGACATGGACACCTTTAGAGGTGCAATGCAAACAACTAGATACTGATTACCTGGAAAATTGTATCATATTGATGATAATCGAAATTTGTTACCGCGAAATGAAATTAATATCTGCCACTGAGCGTCTATGGAGTGTGATTCCAACATGTAGAGTCAATATTCGATTAGAGTCGGCTTTCGGCTTTCTCATTAAAAACATTAAAATACGGAACTTTGCTTAGCCTGAACGTTGCAGAGTCGTCAGAAACAATATTGGGTCACATGCTAGAATGAGACAAAGCAGATTTTTCTAGTGGTGTAAATATTTTACATAATAATATACTCGTAAATATGTATTACCACCCACTTAAACCGATTTCCTCAAATAATAATATAAATAAATATATCATGATAAAGAAAACAATAAATCCGATAAAGCTTAGATATTAGACCTAGTTCGAGATTCCGAACGTCACACGAAAATTCCGATGAATCTGCCTACTATTCAAGCTGAAATACTAATTTAATAAACTATACCAATAGATACGATCAAATTCTTGGTAAGTTTCCACTAAGTATTACGTTAAACTTAAACGGAAAATCAATTCTCCGCCTACTTCAAAACCCTATAATGGGTTGGTCAGATGAACCACGAGGAAGTATAAATAGAGATTTAAAGTGGCAAACAAAAGAAAATATAAGCCACTTCCACACAGGCGGGCTCTGTTTACACCTGCACCTCTTCACACAGCAATATCCGGTCTAGTTTTATATTGTTTCCACTCCGAGGACCTAAGCAAACTCGACTCACAGCCGGATTAATCCAATTATACGTATCTACTTTGAAAGTTCATCTGTATTATCTGCTTAGACGCGTATTTCGTACAAATTGCTCGAGTTGAGAACTACGAGGATCCTTCCGAAAAGGTATCTCGGATTGCGTTATCTGTTACAGCTAATAAACAATAAAAATTTATGGCCTTGCTTTGTTGCAAGGTTACAAGTAAAAGTTAAATTAGGCAAACAAGTAATTGATAAAGTTAAAAGTTAGGAATGCGAAAGCATTTGTACCTTTTTGAATTGCGGCGCCATAAAAGCAGTTTAGTTTAAGCACCTACCTACGAAATTGCACATTTGAAGCTCAATTGGTAACTAATAAAATGGAGTGGACCCGGGAAACCAGCGCTATTTAGGTTACGGACGAATGGCGTTCGGTTTGGCTCAATGATATAGACGAATTAACACGATTTCATCCTCGAATGTTGTGTGAATTACATTACGACGTACCCTACATTTGAATCTGACTGAATTTAGCTACCAAAGAAAACATTTTACCAAATAATATACTTGCCATTAATATAATAAATGCGCCTCTAAAAGTATCAAGGGAATTGCGTTTTTGATAGTCAATGCTGAATGATTGAGGAGATCATATTGGTACTCGTAGGTATTACGTAATGTTTTTTAACATAAAATTGTGGACCAGCTCGTAAATATGTTTCTTTTGCGTCAATTTTACCTTAAAATTTTATGTAACTTGCGTATTCTCGTTAACCATTCATTATAAACGTAAATTGGATTCATGTTCTGGGAAAACCGCAAACAGCAGGTTTACAACTTCTCCGTTCATATAGGTAGTACTGAAAAATGCTTTCTCTAAGCTTAAAACTCTATAAAATAAAATCTGTAAATGAGAATGTTATATGCAAGTCCTTATGAAAAAGACCTTAAATACAAAAATCGAATCCTAATTAAACGACGAAGTTACTTATAAGCATTTAATGGGCGTTTGCGTTTGACTATCGTCCATAATATTAGAGAACGACACATTTATTATGTATGTATACGAATGTAACTCTGAGTATATTCAGTTTAATGTACTATTGACGATTATTTGATTCCCGAGAGTTCGTTGAAGAAGATTTACTTAATGAATGGCAAAAAAGATGGGATACGTCAGTCAAAGGACGTCACTTATATAAATTCTTCCCGAATGTACGCGAACGTCTAACTAGGCGATGGTTAGAAATCGACCATTGCTCGTCGCAGTTCCTCACGGGACATGGCAACTTTAAACATAAACTTCACGAATTCAAACTAGTTCCGTCTCCTTTTTGCGAGTGTTCCACTGATGATGTCAGTCATGAGCAGTCTGCCCATCATATCTTGTGGGAGTGTGATCTTTGGAAACATGAACGTGATATAATGCTTAATTCAATACAACATACATCTGTTTCCGCAATTTATTACACCGATCTTGTCGCGACAAGGAAAAATTTCCGTGCTTTTAAGCGATTTTGTGAAAAATATTATTGGCAGGTAGTTGCTAATTGCTCATAAGATAGGCCCCCTTAATTTAATTTATTGTCCGTGGTGCATAATCTTTTTCTTAAAGGTTTTAAACCTTTGTTTGTCACCTGTCATCCGCTTTGCAATGGAGGGAAGTCGAACCTTAATTTCGAACTCCTCCTATGTTCTTCTGATTAATTTCGTTGCGGGTCCAATGACAGTTTAACTTTCCCCCGGGACAAACTTGACCTTCATTGGTTGGGTTTTTGTGGCGGTCAAGCTGTAGATCCTGGCTACACAGGAGTTGCAGTGGTGGGAACGAGAGGTGGGAATAGTCCCTTTTAATGTACTATTACTTATTCTGTGGTTTAAGCCTGTGATTTTTTTTTTAAATAAATATCCTTGGACATTTACACTGCGCTTCTAGTCCCAAACTAAGCAAAGCTTGTACTATGGGTACTAGACAACGGATATAAACATACTTAAATACTTTTTTTTTGTAAATACATACTTATTATACATAGAAAACACCCAGTCCAATACAAACAAATATGTTCATGCACACAAATGTGTGTACTGTGCGGGAATCGAACCCGCTACCTCCGGAATAGTAGTCCGTTTCGAACCACTACACCAAACGGCCGACAATTGGTTCAAATATTGATATTCATCCAATCACCGGCTCGAATCTATGCTTGACAATCTAGCATTGAGTTTCGTCGTTTAATATCACTGACACCCAGTATGAGTTAGAATTGGGTTTTAAGCTTTTGTCCGAAATTACAGGTCTAGACCGAAGCTCAACATTTAAGAGGCCTTTGATTGGTTGAATATAATTATTTTAGCCAATCTCCGAAAAATATCTGAAGTTAATTGAAAGGATGTTAAGACAAGTGGGTGTAATCAAATTCTCACTTACTTCAACATCAACTCCAGGCAGCGAAAACTTCCTTCTACGTTCTGCTTCTCTGGGAACATGTCTGAAGAACTCCTGGCCATCCTTGTACCACTTGACGGAATACAGCACGTCAGTAGGCCCGAGCTGCCAGCGGCACGTATTACGGACACGAGTCAAGTATAGTCACTTTCACTTACTTCAACATCAACTCCAGGCAGCGGGAACTTCCTCCTAGGCTCTGCTTCTCTGGGCACATGCCTGAAGAACTCCCGGCCGTCCTTGTACCACTTGACGGAGTACAGCACATCGGTAGGCCCGAGCTGCCATCGGCACGATAGATGCGCTCGCGTGCCTAAAGGCACGTGAGCGGGCACGCGCAGCTCTAGCAACTCCAGACTGGCGGCCCCGTAGTCTGTCAACAAAGAATACAGAAATAAATAAATAATCCTTGACATTTTCCTCTGCGCTGACTTAAGTGTTTTTCTACGTAAGCCTATTTTAATGGGTGAAAAATGTGACTGACAGACAGAGCTATACTCGTATTTCGTATTTAGTAGTTTTCATGTGAATACTAAAAACAAGAATATGGTCGTTTGGTTGATTCATGTGGAATTTGAGCAAAGGCACTCGTAACTGACTTAATTTAAAGCCTATATTCCTTATGTCACCTACAATCAATGGGAAACGCAAAAATCAAAGACGTAAGTTTTAAGAAAAAGTAAAAGAAGAGTCCTGAAATCATTGGTAAATCTTTTCCGACGGTTTCCCTGTGACAAAGTCGGAAAACTTTGTTAAGAATCATGTTACGCTTTGATCTTCCTTCGCCACATTGTTATTTTTGTCGTAAATTCATCGCACACCGTAGCAGTATTATTGACATACTTACATAGCCTACCTATACAAGAATACAATGTGAAAGGAAAACTAAAATCAATGTACTCGTACATTATTGTTTTATATGACTATCAACCTTTTGTGAATTATTGGAGCCATGCATAAAATTAATCAATCGTAATGGTTTGTGGGTATTATTATAAGCCGTGGCTAATTATTCATGATGTATCATTTTGATTTCGATTTAAGACTGTTATTATTGTCTAAGGCCCAAACATCAATTCAAAGATGAGGTCTACCTATACAATGCTCTCGGAAATTCTGAGTCAACTCAGTGTAGATTTTAACGCAAAGTGATTAGCTCTACTTACTATTATATGAAACAAGATCTTAAGGCAAGCTAAGAGGACGTGGAACCCTACGATACTTATACTCTGGCAGATTTTTTATTTTTCGTGCTCATTTATTTTACAGCCAAAATCACTTTTGTTCTCAAATATACAATTATAAAAAAGATAATATAATAATGAGACGTTAATTTATCGAAAAATTTCAACGCTGCTCAACTTGAATTTTAAATTTCACATCAGTAAATAACATGATGTTATTATCACGTAATTGAAAGAGAAAAGAGGATAAAAACAAAGGTTAATGAAGAACCCGCATTAAGAACTTTTTATAAAATTAAAGTCAACTTTACCTAACGACCTAATATTTTTAACATGGTAGTAGGTACCTACTTATCTACTAAATTAAAGTCTGTAATATGAAACGATATTCAAAACTTGTCTTCATAATAAAATTAGCCAATACCTATACGAGTATAGAAGTTCTAATTTAATAGACGTGAAACATTGTATAGACATTAGGCCTAATTAATATTTTTTCCGTTTATCAAGCATCGTTAGTTTCAGTGAAATGTCGTCCAATGCTGGACAAAAGCCTTTCCTTAAGGATTTCCACAACGACCAGTCCATCCAGGTCAATATCAAGTTTATAAGAAAAACATTCATTATAAGAATAATCTAGCTGACCAGTTGAAGTCATGTGACCCAAAATCATACTAGCAGAGAGGTATGAGCGGTTATTCAGCGAGGTTATGCGGCCAGCATTTTTTGCACACAAAGGCCCCGTTGTTCAGCCGTGCTTCATTGTGCATTAAACTTTTCCTGCGGCTTCGCTCGCGGAGATAGAGTATGCCGTATGTATCTTGAGGTAAATAATAAATTAGATTTAAGATAACATGAGTGTTATGTACATTTACTCGTAACAATGAGAATCTCATTTGGGACGTGGTTAAAACGAGAACGATGAGCATCTATTTTTCGGTTGTTATTTGCCCTTCATATTACGTACCAATATTTCTTTCAGAAATCAGGTTCATGAACGAATAGGGGATGCAGTAATGTAGTAGTTTATATCATGATGTTTAAATATATGTGAAAGAATTGACGCAAACGTAATACGGCATGCAGCCGCAACCCACGAAGAGTTAAACCGTTGTAAATTCGTTCGCGCTAAAATATTGCACATTATTTGCCTACCGCTACAAGTATTTTTATTTGGCTGTAGGTAGCGTGTTATGAAGGCAAAAATCCATTAAACGGCACGTCAAATAATTTCCCATGTGACGCTCGCTCGCGGCCCGTAAAAGAGGCACTATTGCCCTCGCCCAGCGGATAATATTACTTTACGACCCGCGGGGCGGGGCCCGAATGTAAGTAAATTGGTGAATAAAGACAGCAACACTCGCCTACGGACGTATGCCGATATTACTATGTCCTAGGCAATATTCCGCAGGTGACAGGGACAATTAAGCCCCGTCACTTTAAAGAAATTATACCCCATAAACTGAGGCTCGTTTGCTAGAGGGTTGGCGATGAAGCCTTACATTTTTTCACGCTACTTACATCGTCATTTCATTGCAAAAAATGTTGCCAATGAAAAGAAAATTACTCCATTGCCTGCTAAAAGTTATTAGTCTCTCGGGTAATTTTTATATGGAGAGGCTTCTTCTATGAAATTATAATAAGATTAATCTCCAAAGTACAGGCATATCTACCTACTTTTAGCAACTTGAATTTGAACATAAATTGGTGTACCGATCTATTTTTGTAATTATAATTATGACAACGTTGTTAGCTTGCGCAAATAAATGTTATGTAGAAAATTTGAGTTTTCTTTTTTATTGTACTGTTTAGTAGTTCATCTCTTTTTTATTGGACTGTTCATCAACAACTATACTCTAGTTCTAGTTCTATCTCTATACTTACCAACTCGTAGAGTTGGTGACATATCGTCAATGAAATTATAGACATACAGATAAATTAATAATCGCTTACACATGTTATTTCTGAAAAATTGTTTTAAAAGTTAAACAACAAAAAACAAAACGACGAGACAAGACAATGGCTCAGCTTATTTGGTATACATTTTCCGAGCGGACACTTATAAGGGTTAATTTATACAGTATGTAAGGGACAGGTTGGTAAACATTTAAACAGTGAGTTCAAACCATGTAATTCTTTCCTGAAGTCATAATTTTCCCATACTTGCAAATTAGACAACCGCATTAGCTGTGTAAACTTGTATTTTCAGTTTATTTAACTTTTTAATGATACTTACGTAAGAATTACATGTTTGTGGAAACTCATAAAATATATGTTACTAGAGGAGTGAAAGAAAAAAAAGTAATCTGTGAAAAATGTTAGTCAATGGAATCTGGTACAACAAGGTTCACATAAAGATTTTTTGTCAACATCAGCATCTGAATATTATAATCGAACAATTAAAAAAATCTGGGGTAAAATAATCAAAAACCCAAAAATAATATTGCATTATTCGGTGTAGAGGTAAGTACTTGCTCCATTGTTTATTACGGGCAAATAGTCGAATACGCTGTTCGGTCAGCTTAATGTCGCGTGTCTGCTACGAGTTAATTACAATTCCCTGATATCTCTAAACGCAGGACAATAAAGTACAGGTGGGGAAACAGGACACAAAACGTTTTAAACTATACACGATTACAACGAATTTTTTGTTTGTAATTAGAATTTAAGGACCTGTTCTGGATGATGAACTTATTTATTAATGATAATTTGGGAGCGGGCAAAACTATGATGGTGAAGGATCAATTTGATTTATTTCTTTTTTTTCCTCGCAAAGGTCTATAAGATCTATAAGATTCTCATCATATTATTGAGAATAGGGAATTACTGATTAATGAGAATATTTACCTATTCATTACTAATGTAAGTTGGTCGATTGTACCTGATACATCGATTTCATTGTAATTAATATCTTTGGTATGTTTATGGTAACCATACATAAATTATTACTGTATACGATATTTTATGATATTTATTTTTCATGAAATTCTGTTTTTGAAAGCAATGCCAATACGTAATGATTAAACTTAAAAAAAAAACACAAAATCAAGCTGCAAAACACATAAAACTTTCATTTTAACTATCTAGTACAAAAATATTGGAGACTAATTTTCAAGATTTTAAAGCTACGTTAGCCTCACTACGGTTTCGTAACGTAGGTACGTAGGTAAATACCATTTTAACTTTAGTATTTTTATGCAATATTCTTCTGTAAAGTATTAAAAGTATGAAATACCAAAGAAAACGGAGCAATTTCATTTCTGAGTAATATCAATGAATATTACTAAGTTATCGCGCACACATACTGCTTGTTTCATGGAAATTTTCATCTGTTTGTTTAATCATAAACTCACGCTTGTGCCCTAATTTTCTTTTTTCGCTCCCCTTTGGCCCGATAACATTATTGAATGTGTTTTCATTTGTCCGAACATCCACTGTTACCCCAAATTGGACGTAGTTACATGAAAAGGATCCAATCCACATCAAGTCATTTTCGAGATATTAACATTTGAAGTTTATGACGTATTTCTTCATAGGTGTTAATTATAAAATAAGTTGTCAGTATGTTGTTCCTGTGTATTATTGTAATTATTTTTATTGATTATAGTACAATCAAACACAATATTGTATTTCAGGAGATATTTGTAAAAATATGCAGTTGGATCCTTTTCGCTAAATAACAGTTAATATTGTGCACGCTCAAGACTTAATTCATTAAAAAGACCCATGTAAAAAATATTTAATAATAATGACATTTTTTTCAATAAAACGTCATTTTTTAATACTCAATTCTTTATTGTTCATCATTTATTAGTCATCGCTCTCCTCAGGAATAAAATCAAGATCTTCTTCGTAGCCTTCTATGTCTTCTACGATGTTAGAACTACTCTTTAGAGACTTATAAATGTCTTGACAATCTTTTGGGATCAAATCTAACATGGACAGAAGATCATCCAACTTGGGTTGAGGGATTACCTTGCCGTTGGGCCACAATAAAACAAGGTCTTTCTCATTAATATCAAAGAATTTACCTTCTAACTTTTTTTCAATATATGTATAGATGAAATTTATCGTCCTTATTTATAAAATCACCTTTGTCTTTAACCAATTAACTTTTTCTTTGGATATAAAAAGTTTTCTATTTACTGTATTCTTTTCAAGTGATTTGGTCCCCATAAAGTATTTTTTA